CCGCTGTTGGTTGTTTGAGAGAGATTCGCTCTCCCTTCCTTCCCTTCCTCGCTCCCGCGCTCCCTCCCTTCCTCTCTACTCCTGCTTACCAGTGAGAACGTGAGTGTAGTGGTGGATGTCATTCAACACCAGCCCGTCTAACAGTTCTCCCCCTCCTCTCCCTCTCTCTCTCTCTCGCTCTCCCTCCCTCCCTTCCTCGCCCCCGCACTCCTCCCTTCCTCTCTACTCCTGCTTACCAGTAAGAACGTGAGTTTAGTGGTGGATGTCATTCAACACCAGCCGTCTAACAGTTCTCCCCCTCCTCTCCTCCTCTCTCTCTCTCCCTCTCTCCCTCCCTTCCTCCCTCCTGCACTCCCCTCCCTTCCTCTCTACTCCTGCTTACCAGTAAGAACGTGAGGTGTAGTGGTGGATGTCATAGCAACACCAGCCATCTAACAGTTCTCCCCCTCCTCTCTATCTCTCTCTCCCTCTCTCCCTCCCTCCCTTCCCTCGCTCCCGCACTCCCTCCCTTCCTTTTACTCCTGCTTACCAGTGAGAACGTGAGTGTAGTTGTGGATGTCATTCAACATCAGCCCCTCTAACAGTTTTCCCCATCCTCTCCCTCTCTCTCTCTCGCTCTCCCTCCCTCCCTTCCTCGCTCCCGCGCTCCCTCCCTTCCTCTCTACTCCTGCTTACCAGTGAGAACGTGAGTGTAGTGGTGGATGTCATTCAACACCAGCCCCACGTACAGTTTTCCCAGCTGCTCTAGCACTCTCTCTGCCAGTCGCGTTTGGTTCTATTTTGTTTTGTTTTTCGATCAGTCACCAGTTCATCGCATTCGTAGGTAGTGGTGCCTCCTGGCGGTCGCGCTGCTGCGTGGGTCTGTCGACAGCGCCCTCTGATGTGCTCTGCACAAATATAAAATTTCCAATGCGTAACTTTGCCAGGGGCAGCACAAGTCGCACGGTGCCATGCAGCACCCAGTTTTCTTATTATTGCTGTCTTAAAAATCTCATAAATCAATGTGTACATCTAATAAGAATAATATGTGGTGATGTAATATTCTTTTGCAATAAGCATAAAAATATAATACTCATATTCTACACCATCAATGACTACTGTTTCAGTCTCAATTTGCACCCGGTGGAAGGCCGAAGAAGTTTATTTAATGAGTCTACGCGCTATTTGCTCCCCAATCGTGGAAATTTTACATTTACATACTTTCTTTGATATCTTGTAATTTTTCAAGTAATATATTAAAATTAAATGTATGCGTTTTTAATTTTGATAAACTTTCTCAATAAGTCAACAAGTCAGTTCTTTAACTTTTTTCTTGTTGTTTGTGCACAGCGGCGTGCGTGCGGTGTACTTGTGTGTTGCAGAGGAGCATTTTAACGGCATTTACAGGAAATTATCGGCAATAATAGGCGAAAGAGAGTAGAGAAACATTAAGACTTTGCATGACTTTGATATGACTTTTGCGTATGATAAGCACACTTGTTGGCAATGCAGTCATCAGAGTTTGGATAACTGCAATGGGATATGAAATATAATATCATATGCGTTATATATCTATGAATATTGAAAGCGATAAATAAAACTTATATCTACTATATAATAGTAGAAAGAGCCGAAGTGTCGTTTTCCGTATCTCCTCCGAAACCGTGCCACGTATTCTCACGCGAATCGAGCTGGGGCCCCTTCTGGACGTCCCGAATACATTCCGCTACGTTAGAACGCGATTTTTCTATCGTAAAGTGACTTTTGGAGGCAATTTTCTAAAAAGTTATGTGCCCGAAGAAACTTCGGCATTCATCGGAAACCCGCACCAACTTTTAAGATCGCAAAATCTGCATGCGCAGTCGTCCAATCAGAGCATGTGAATCACCTGCTACCGCAGCAACTGCAAGCGTCGACGAAGACGGCTTGGAGTAAATCTCGATTTTCATGCTTTTTAATTCTTTTCTAAACCTGACTTACTTCATTTCTGGTATTTCCTGTACATCCAGCATTTGTCAATAAACACATATCACACAGTGCCATGTCATAAAATACTGTACACTATACCAGGGATAGAAATAGGAGTCCGCATCCTTAATAATTATCAACCCCTCATAGGATGAAACGATAGGACGAGGGAGCTACCGGTTTTCGTAAATTCGTTTTACTTTTGTTCTCCCCTCCCAGGCGCCGGTCACTCCTACGCAGTCATAAACATGCTCCACACACGGCATCGCTTCGCGGCATAGACATGAAACAATCCATTGCCCGTACATCAATCGGCACCGCTTCTTGCCATGACGGACGTACATCGTACACACTAGCGGCAGGCGCGGTACACGCTGGCTATCTGTAACACCCGCTGTTGACTTCGCTGTCAGTCTACTGTCGGGTACTGTTCGAGGTATAATTTCAATTTTTACATGATTTACCCTCTGCCCCCAATTTTTTCAAGCGAATTTGACGTTTGTCACAACATTGAGAGCGACCTCGGAGCGAGGACCAAGTGAGGAAGCATGGGTACCGTGCATAGACGGAGAGAAGCATGGTGCCCTGCGACTCTGTCAAATCCGCCGATTTCCGCGGATCCGCGGAAAAATCTCATCCCGGAGTCAGTATGTATGCGTGTGCATGCGCGTGTGCGTGTGCGTGTATGTGTGTGCGCGCCCGTGTGTGTGTAAATGTGGTATGTGTGTGTGCGTGGGTGCGCGTGTGATTGTGCGTGCGCATGGCCGTATGTGTGTGAATGCGATGTGTGCGCGCGTGTGTGGTGTGTGTGTGTGTGTGTGTGTGTGTGTGTGTGTGTGTGTGTGTGTGTGTGTGTGTGTGTGTGTGTGTGTGTGTGCGAGCGTGTGTGCAAATATTTGACAATAAGAGATGTAACCGTGCCCGCGCTTACCCGGCTCCCAATGCTCTCACATTTTTAGACACCGTTTCGATTGTCTAAGAACACACACATACCACACTATATATGCCATAACCTTTTGAAATTGTGTTAAAGTATTAATGTGTTTTCTCACGGGTTTTAATGATAATATAGCTATACTAAATGTAGATTAAAGGTATAATAATAAGCATTTAATTAGGTGGGGCCTTCACCGGCACGCGCACACACGCACACACCAAAGTCATTGCGGCTGCGGTGTTATAAACAGCCAATCACAGTGACTGCCGCGCACAGCTGTGAAGCGAAAATTTAAGACAAACTCCAACGAGAGACGGCTGCAGTTGTATGTGTATGTGTATGTGTGTGTGTATGTGTATGTGTATGTGTGTGCGTGTGCGAGTGCGTGCGCGCGCGCGTGCGTGTGCGTGTGCGTATATGTGTGTGCGCGCCCGTGTGCGTGTGCGTGCGCGTGCGCGTGCGTGTGCGTGTGCGTATATGTGTGTGCGCGCCCGTCTGTGTGTAAATGTGGTATGTGTGTGCGTGGTTGGTGCGCGTGTCATTGTGCGTGCGCATGCCCGTATGTGTGTGAATGCGGTGTGTGCGTGCGGGCGCGCGTGTGTGTTATGTGTGTGTGCAAATATTTAACAACGGGAGGTGTAATCGTGCCCGCCGCCGACAACAGACTTTTTCAATAAAATATATCTTCAAAACTATATCAACTCTCAATAACTTTTTTTGAAGAATTTGACTTATTATTAATGCTTCTAACCAGAATGCTATTTTCAAAAATATATAAATAAGTGAAATTGTACTATGAAATCACCCCATTTCCTTTTTTTTTTTTAAATTGCATGTCATTTTAAGGTAAAATTTCAGATTTTATATATATTTAGATACAATTTTTTTTAAACAAATATTGGTATATGACTCGAGTCTAAATATCAGTATTTTCCGTTTACTGTAAATACATCCTCAAATAAAAGTCTAAACTCAGATAAATGGTTAAACCGCCATCCTCAAGTCAGACCCCACTCGAACCCGTCTGGAGGACGGGTAATAGCTAGTCTTGTTATCTAATATATATTTGAGTTCGTATGTATGTATCTATGTATGTATGTATGTATGTATGTATCGTACCCTATGGACGGCCAAACCGCCCAAGCGATCTGGATGCAATTTTCACAGGGCCATCTCTTATACCCGGGGAGTGTTCCTAGATGAAAAAAACCTGTCAAACCGTCAAACTCACCGAAAAATCCGTGAAAAACCCGTCAATTCGTGAAACTTCACACAATGTCAGCACTGACTGTACAGTGCTGCCACACACAGAAAAATCGATTCCCTCACCTCATACGGCTGCTGGTATTGTGAAACCGAAACCAAAACTAAAACACACCACAACCAGCACCAGTTTCACCAGTTCAGAGGTACTACTCACTCAGCTCAGAGGTTCAGTTCAGATGCTACGATCTCAGAATGCATTGTACCATTCGAAAGCTATGCAGTTTCTGATTCAGTAGGAAAATTTCTTCATTTCAATGTGCATGGTTGCGTGTCTCTATCTATACTATGAGCAGCTAATAATGATAAAGCTACTAATAATGGGAGACGAATAGGAACATATGGGTAAAAAATCGACAAACATTGCAGACAATATTAATATTTAGAAATGAGTGTAAATAAATAATAAGCATGGAGAAAACGAAAAAACTGTTACGTATACATTTATATGACAGCACAACCGCAACTTAGAACCCCTCGGACATAATAGTATAATATGGTGTAAATGACAAAAAGTTATTATATACAGCATGTAGGAATGGGTTAGACTTTCCATTTGAAAGCTCTTGATAAAAAATGTTTTCGTCTTATTCTCTGGTGCAAAATATGTAGAGATTCCTGGCGGTGCGAACTGTTGGAGCTCCCGCACAGTACAGCTATCCATTGTGAGATCTTACATAAATAAAAGGAATATAGTATCAGGAGCTAATAATGAGAAATTTGTCATTATTAGGTGGTGCTCATAGTATAGATAGAGACACGCAACCATGCACCATTGAAGTGAAGAAATTTTCCTACTGAATCAGAAACTGCATAGCTTTCGAATGGTACAATGCATTC